TTCTACCATTAAATTAATTACATCTTATATGACCAGATACAATCTTTGCAATTATGTAAAATATTTTTCCACAGCTTCCTTCTCGGATTCTCAAGTGGAAGGTGCTTGCAAAAATTGTCAGCGTCAGTGTAAAGGTCCAGGGAAATGCATGAACAATAGATGCAGATGCTACGGCAAACGTAATATCTATGAAGAAAATGCAGAATATAAGTAGAATGTAACGATGTATGAAAAACTGTCCTTATTCTCTCGAATAAAATATAATAGAAAGCATTAAATTTAGATATTCTGAGTTATTATTTGCCACTAAATACAAAAATACATATTGTTTATGAAAATCTGATAAGAAATTGTATTGAAACATTATAAGAGATACAACAAAGAATGGAAAAATGTAGACGAATAAAGAAGCAGTTTAAAATTATTATTTTTTCATTACTTTATAAAACGTTCTCTATTTCACAAAGCAGTGGCACGATTTAATCTTCGGTGCAGTTGAGTTACTTTTATTTTTAAACATTTATACAAACATTTAATTAATAAGAAAAACAAAGTTTACAATGAAACATTTCTAGAAAAACTCAATATTTACATTACTGTTAAATACATCCCTAATTTTTGCTTTCTGCCGACAAAATTTAGAAGTTTTTCAGACATAGGGTCATAAATCCCTATCGAGAAGTCGATTTTGTAGGGTAATGTTTTGAATAAAATACAGTTTTAACTCATCTAAAAACAGTATACTATTGGGTTAATATTCGAAACATCATTATATATCTTTCGTTGATACCGTCGTAAATCGCCAATAAATATATGATCGTCCGTATAAATATTAAATAAAAAAACTTTTAGATTTTATACCATTGCTATTATTGTTCGAGATATTGTTTAAGTTTAGCTCCATATTCGATTTCGTGCCAATTTCGCAGGCGAACAAATGATTGTTTTCGAGTAAAACGCTGTAATCACCCAACATGATTTCCTACGTTATTACTGGATACGTCTACACGAATTATACATTACACTTCATAGCAGAATGTATCCGTATTAAATTTCTTTCAATAAAATCAAGTGTTTGGACTAGTTTACAATAAAGAGGCAAAGTAAATTCTACTGTTTATTTATTTATTTTTAATGGATCTTGAATAGTTTGTAAGAAATTTGTAATCTTTTGAAAAATGTTTTTAGGAAGTCAAATTTCAACAGTGCCTCCAAGTAAAATATAAAAAAAATAATGCCTTCAGAAATTCGAATGAATCGAACGTCAAGAATGATAAATGAAATTTGGTTTTTCTTAGAAAATTTCATAAAAATATTAAAAATTGGAGGAAGTAAGACGGAAACTTCCTTTGCTTTCTTCGTATTTCTCCAAGTTCTGGGTGCTGAGATGGAACGATTTCCTATGAAGAAATAAGCATCCACGATTTTTGCAAAATTTAAAAACCTATTTTGCAACTTTCCTTTTGCAAAAGAAGATAAGAAATAGAGAAGTTCAGTGAAAAGACTTTAAAACGTCAGTCAAAAGATGTAAATGACATTTGTCGAATATGGTGGCGATAAAAACCTATACAAGTCCCACTACGAGAAAAAGTTTCGAGTGGTATGTAATTTAAGTCTTAAAAACTTTTTATTTATATTTTAAGGAATAAAACATCTCCACATATAGGTCAGTATTAGTAATATTTTAATTTAAAATAGTAATGTAATGATTTAAAATACGAGTTTAAATTTCTGGCACAGAGTGAAATTGATTGAAGCATTATTTAAATTATAAATTGTTTCGATTGCCTTTCAACTTTCTTTGTATTATTTTCCCGACAAATTTCGTTTCTCTCTAGAAATTTTAAACAGTGTAAAAGCTTCCGCAAAAAAAGAAAATTAAATTATTTTGTAAAGTGCCGAAATTCTCCGTTTAAATATTGAAAAAGTTTAGCAATGAATTGCGTAACTTTCCCGGCTGTTATGACACTTTATCTTAAATATAACTTTTATATTATTAATCATAGTAAATAAAATTATGCGCAACACGCATACCTAAGCATGATGAACGCATTTATGATTAATTATAATAATCAGATCGGAGGGCGCGGGAGAGGTCAGTTTCGCGATTAAATACGATTCCTCTCCAGCCATGTTTCCCTCGACTTTAGTCTTTTCTATTGTTTAAATAATTTATAAAAAAAACTTTTTTTTTGTTTAATCGAGATCTTTAATTTCTCCTTTCGAGTTGTAAAAAGAGATTTTCATTTTTCGATTGATAGTCTCCATTCGGACCTCTAAGTTGACTTCCTTCCGGGTCCTCACACCGGTGATGTTCAATACGTTTCCTGTGCGTTGTTTTTTTACGATCGCAACGGTGAAATACCCTTAAGATTTTTGTTAATTTTATGCAAAATCGCTTACGAATGTATGTATTTTTCATTGTTAAAAGTGTAAATAAACTGACTCCATGTTTATACTTTAATGAGTTTTTATTGGTTACAATGTTTTCTTCTACTCTCGTTTAAGTAATGTTCAATGTTTCGTAATAGTTTGGAAGTGTAAATTAATAAATTTGAAGTGTTGGACATCGTAAGCTCTATTTTATTGCTACATTTTTCGCGTTACTCAACTTTTATGGAAACACCTCGATTATTTTGCATTTGTGAGAACCCTCGCTTCAACCAAAAATAACACGTTTTTGTTATTGTGAGAATACGGGCGAGGGGACTGAGCCCTCTAATCGTTGGGCTGGTAAAACCCGATCTCGAGGTCGTTGGCTGGCAAGGAGGGCAAATCGAGTGGGGAGTGCGTTGGTAAGTGGCAGAAGTCCATGGACAAACAAAAGAAAGGTTTTAACAGACGACAAGAATTTATTATATAACTAAACCTAAGATTAGATGCGGTTAAATGAGGTTACATATACACTCCTCTGGAGGGGATTGACAAAAGTTTCTAATCAGCTCTCATGCTGACCTAATGACTTACCTCTGTCGCTACTTCCGCTGAGAGAGAGTTTACAATAATCTATAGATACCTTTATATTCGTTAGTCAAATTAGATGACACTCGTTCGATCGGAGAGAGAAGAATTCGAAGAGGACTGGAGGTTGTATGGCATATCTTCATATCGTTGACTTGCACGGGCCGGGACAGTCCGTTTGTGGAGATCCACTGTACTTGGCACCATAACCGTCAACATTGAACGAAAGTTTTTGAACAGCTTTTTCTCACGACGAGGGTATAAAAGAGAAAGTCACAGGAAGCTCGGGAGAGCGATTAATCAGGACGTCAATCGGTAGTTGTGTGCATTTCATCTCCAGGACCTTCATAACCCGGACTGGACCCGAGAAGAGGAGAAGACACCGGTTGGAAACCCATCTGAGACAACGACCCGTCCATATGAATGAAGTTCTCTACATCGACTCTCCAATACGCCAGAGAGGTATTTAAAAGAGGGCTGAAACTTGTAAACTCTCTCTCTGCATAAAGTGCATTAGAATAGGGAAATTAGGTCGAGCACGCGTTTCGTAAGAATTTATCGTTCGCATTCGTAACTGCATTTATTCACTTCAGTTTGTAACCGTATTTATCCGTTTATAGATCTGTATCTTCTAAAGTTAGTTTATAATAAATTTTATATTTTGTTATGTTAAAAACCTGTCTTTTGATCGACCACGGACTTCTGCTACTTACCAACGCACTCCACACTCGATTTGCCCTCCTAGCCATCCAACGACCTCGAGACAGGGTTTTACCAGCCCGTGCAGATTAACTGGTTAGAAGGGAATAACTCCTGACCCCCTGCTTATCTCACATTATATATGTTTTGATAATTGTCAACTACTACCTAAGAACATCTCGTTTTACGTGTTCTCGACAACGAAAGCGACTCTTTCCCGCAATCTTTTAACCTCCAGGCCGTATGCTACCGATTTTAAAATTGACGGCCCGATGAAGCAGTCGTCACCGGCTTATTAACCCGCCACGGTAGGGCTGTGCCGCCTATCAGAATTAACTTCGTCGACATCGAACTTCTTAAGTTCCTCATATTTAGATTAACTTCGACGACGACCCCTGGGAAAATCCTACATTTCACCTCTACTTCCAGGAAATTACCACATCGAATACTTATCATAAACTCCTATAAACTGCCAAACTTCTCCCGTCTTTCACCGTCGAAAGACTGATCGAATCCTCTCCTGCCGATCAACTAATTTCAGGTGTTTATGTCTCCGCGCGATATCACGTAAACTCTCTCTCTCGCAACCACCTACAGAATATAGGTCAGTAATTTCGATACAGTACGATGTGTATATATTACGTAACCTTTTTTCTTTCAGTGCATTACTTCTGTCAGTTCTCCACCCGGAATCCGATCGCTTACGCACGCGACCGCTCGCGTGACCTAGTTTATAACAAAAACCCAGTGGCGTACCGTAGTGGGGGCAGCAGGGACGGCCCGCCCCGGGCGGCACTTTTTAGGGGGCGGCAAAATTACCTTTTAGGGAGCGGCAAAATTTCACAATAAATAATAATAATATCTTGTAAAAATTTGAAACATCCTAATCTATACTTGCATCGCGCCTACGATACTGCTATCGTCCGGACAGTCCGGGAATCGGCTCGCCGTCGGAGTAAACTAGTAATTTTTTCATCCGAGGAAGTCCTGCGAAACCTGTTGATTTTTTTTTTTTTTGTTTTTGCTTGTATGATTCATTCGCGTTCATATACACCACTAATATTCAATGAAACTATTTTAAACAAGTCGCTGCACTACCACCGAATTTTTCATTGCTTGTTCTGTGACAAAACTGAATTTTGGTTTTTTAAATTGAAATACCTAAATAAGGGGGGCCGAAATTTTCCTCCGCCCCGGGCGGCTGACACCCACGGTACGCCACTGCAAAAACCGTTCGACTTCTGTGTCGAAGGGACACAGTGGTGGCATCCTGACGAGGCATCGAAGAAGCGCCGACCCTCCGGTCACGCCATCCTAACGTGTAGCATATATGAAGGAAAATTATAAGAAATTTTCATAATTCACATTTAGTAAACTGTACCAGCCATTTCCATAGTTTATTCTGACCTGTTTAGTACAATATAAATTCGAAAACACCAGAGTATTAGCATAGCATGTTACATTTTTACGGTTTACATTGTGACCATTAAATACGACAAACCAATAAGTAATATAAACTAATAATTTAAAATATGGTGTAACAGGCCATAAACAGAAATTTCAGAATTTATAATCATTATCATTTTGGAAATTAGAATGAAAGTACAAAGAAGCTGACACTGCAAATTAGTCCCAATACAAAGACAGTTTTGACTAATGAAATACAATAATATTTCCTGTAAAAATAATAATAAACAATTATAAACTGTATTATTTACAAATAGAATTATGTAAACAGATACTTGCATTAATAAAGTCTTTTTACTTCGAGGGATGGTCGAGTCGTCTTCCTTCAGAACGTATCTCCTCGTGCCCAGAACGTAATTTTCCAAGTACTTGTCCCAACTGAGCTTTGAAATATCGAAATTGAAATTCTGAAATATAATTTCGATCACTTGTTATAGTTTATGACAAGTTCGCTTATTTCTCAATAGACACGAAATTCGATTATTTTTCTATTTTCCAGTTTGTGCCGTCATCATTTCATATTCTGACAGAAAACTGAAATTTACTAATACTCCATGGCTGAAAAGTCAGTTAACCGTTGAAAAATTATACTGCAATTATTCAAATAATTATGTACAAATACAATTCCTTTAGATACATTTCTTATTCGCCAATTCTGTTATTTTGTAACAGTGGCGTTGCAAAATAATTTGATTTTTACACTTAAATCTTCATAAGAGTTTATGTATTTCCGGTAGTTGTATGGAGATGTATTGAGTAATTTCTTTCCAGAAATGATTATAAGACTTCGGTTTCACAAGTTTTATTTGCTAGCGTGTGCCTCGCTCGAAAAACGGTATATTATGTTTTAGATATTGTAGCAAAGATTGCTACTATAACACTGTTATTGTTGTACTGTTTAATCTTATTAATTTGTACTACTGTTATAATAGCGATAACTGTTTAATTATAATTAGCAATTCTTGTTAATATTTAACGAGCATAATATAAGTAAACGAAATATAAAATACTGTATTACGTTCGTAACATGGAAAATAACCCTACCTGCTTATCTTGTGTCGACATGGATTTAAATAATTTCTCCACGTTATCGGCTCGAAACATCCATTCTCTTACACAAAAATATTCTAATACTTCCANTTACGACCCTCACAAATGCACGATCAGCTTTAAAAACAACATACATTGGTTTTCTGCGGACAGCAACTTGAAATGTATCGTATAACATTGCAGGAAAATAATGCTGCATCGCAATGCATACACGATTCCAGTAATAATTCCTCTTAGATACGTTTTTTGGATATAAAAATGCATTCTTTGAGGGATAATTCCAACATAGCAAGTTTAAACACTCCAAAAGCTTGCGCCAAGTTAACGGATTTATTGATCCTGAAGTGCAATTGTATACTGGGATATCATCTTCTCTGAAAAAAGAATAATTTCTCAGGTTATTTATTCATGCTTTCCGCATAAAATTAATGAATTTCTAATGTTTGTTCATTTCTTACAAAGGGATTAATATACTAAAAAAAGTGTTTTCTGTTGTTTTCTAGTGTAGATTCGTTGTTTACACTTTACAGAATATTTTCTAATCGCACTTGTTTATGTGAGGATTTTAAATTGAATTTATATTTTGCCACTTTATAAAGATTCGTGTATGTAATACTAACAGTTTTATTGTTAATATTTAGAGAAGAATCTGTAGAATGAAAATTAATTACGACGGCCACAAGCATCACATGTCAGTCTATAACTCTAAGACACCAGATTTGAATTAGAACAAGAAACTCCAGGAACAATTTATGAGAGATCTGTTCTAGATATGCCTAGTTCATCTGTAAGTATTTTGCCACCTTTTTCAAAGGTTTCCCCTCTTGTCCTAATGGGGGTACCACCTCCTAGCTCGTCCCGCCGCTGCGAACATCCTCTCCCGTTCCTGCTCCTGCAGGCATCTTCGTAACTGTTCTAATATAGCCTGACCTCGCCCTACTCCTCTCTGGGGTGGAGAGGTGAAGGCCCCGTAGCCTCCGGGGTTCGACTGTTGTCCCCTTTCTTCTTTTTGGGAGGACTCCTTTTCCTCTAGGAGACGCTCGCTTCTTTCTATGGCGAAAGCCACCGCCTCCTCCACCTCTCTTCGTAGATCCGGATCCACTCCCCCCTCGTGGGGTAAGATAATAAGTTCCGGATGTCCCGGTCGGGGATTTCGAGTCGCTCGTAGAAGAGCAGCCCTCACGACAGCGGGGTCCACCTCCATTCTCCTGCCCTCTCCTCCTCTATGGTTGGGAGCCTCTGCCATGGTTTCTCTGTTGAATATAAGAGAGAAAAAGAGTAATTAAATGACCAGAAGCGTATATATCTGGTTCTCCTCTCCTTTTTGTTTCGTTTTNTTTCTTTTAGGAGGCGACTTCCCCGCTCTATGGCGAGAGCCACTGCTTCCTCCACCTCCCTCCGTAATTCCGGATCTACATCCCCGCCGTGGGGTAAGATAATAAGTTCCGGATGTCCCGGTCGGGGATTCCGGGACGCTCGTAGAAGAGCAGCCCTCACGACAGCAGGGTCCACCTCCATTTTCCGGCCCTCTCCTCCTCTATGGTTGGGAGCCTCTGCCATGGTTTCTCTGTTGAATATAAGAGAGAAAAAAAAGTAATTAAATGACCAGAAGCGTATATATTTGGTTCTCCTCTCCTTTTTTTTCGTTTTTGAGGAGGAGAACCTCATTCATTTCCGAATCGCCTATTAGTCCTCCGTATCCGGTTCGGGCTCCTCAACAGCCCCTCGGTTTCTTACGGGGATGATGGTTACGACTACCGTTAAAACATGATTTTCGAGCATTCGCTCTAACATTCTTATACTCAAGGTCATGCAATCTCTCATTCGTATAATAAATTTTAAATCGCCGGTTACGCTTCGGGGAATAGATTCCCATTGTATCACTTTGCCTCTTCCGCGAACTTCGATTCTCCCGCGGAAGCGTCCCGAATCTTTACGGTTCCCTACGTTTTGCACAATGATAAGGAGGGGAGAGTTTTCATCGATGGTTTCCATCTTAATAACTTGGATGATAAAATCTCGCCGGTAGCAGTGGAGACACGTTATCCACGTGAGAGGTAGGGCCACGTCTATCCCTATGATAGACATCCGAACTGAGTCATGATTCAAACAATGGATGTAAGAATGGTTCTCGGTCAGATGCGGAATTATTTGTTGATATACTCCTTCCCAGTCACAGGCCTCGTCCAAGGAAGGGCAAGAGCACGTTCGAAAAGAGCAATGCAATTCGTGAACCTTTCGGTCTTTAAGAAGTCTCTTTTCTGGGCATCCGTTTTCTTTATAGATACATGGCAAAGCGATAATTTCGGCTAATTTCTCTAAGGTTAAATTTCGAAAATTTCTTAATTCTCCCCGGCAGACTGGGCATTGTCTGACTTGGGTTTTACAACGAGAACAGATTGTATGTCCCTCTGGACATTGGAAAGTAGGGGGTGTCATGTAGTCATAACAGACCGGACACTCGAACAAGGCCATTAGAGCGGGTTCCGGAAGGGATTCTCCGGTCGAAGCCTGTTCTGCGGATGTCCCGGCTTGGTCTTCTTCCATTTTCGTCTCTATATAAAAAGGAAAAGAAAAGTTTGTTGAGTCTCTGTTTTCTAACTAAAAGATTAATACATAAGGCTACCGCTTTGAGAGGTTAAATTTATCTCGCGCCGTTTTATAATCGTCTCATTTGCGAGGGAATTGTCTCCAAACCGACGGGAAGTGTCACGGATTCTCCCCGTTTAGGTAGGGTTACTGACTCCCGCTCATCCTCTCTTTCCTCCGGGATGTTGGGAAGCGGTCTAGCTTTCACCGTAATCGGTAACCGTTCGGTCATCTCCGTTACGTCGGGTTCTATTCGCTCTTCTCTTTTGAAGGATGGGCTCGTTGATCTTTGTCTTCCCAGGCAGCGTAACCGCCTGCGACATCTCCAAGCCATCAGAAGCGTCACTATTATTATGATAACAGGAGCTATAAGACTTAAATTCCACATAGAAAATGGATGATTTAACACGTCTGGTGTCGACGGGGAAATATCTGTTTTTACTGATTTGATCTCTTGATCTATTTCTTGTAACATTCGTTTGGAAAATTCTATCGACCAGTCATTTTCTCTGGGCTGGAGGACGTCTGGAGTGATATTTCCTTGAATGTATTCCCGCAGAATTTTCACTTCTGTAAGATTGAGAACGTCCGGTATCGCGGGTATTACGTAATGGTTTCGAAGCGCAACTTTAAAAGAAGTTCGTGACTGAAAATGTGCTGTGAGTCGCACGCCGGGCACATGGCCGGTGCAAGTCATTGGCAATTTAAAGATTCCGGTGTTGTTCAACTTAATCATCTTGACTGGTGAACGTTGTAGGTCTCTTTCTAGATTGCATTCGATAACCAAATTCAAAGGTGATGGAGTGGAATATATCCAAGTTCCTTCCTCGTCGATGCGACGGAACATTGGTTTTGGATTGATTGACACTTTTCTTTTACATAGTTTGTTTACCGTTGGCTCATCCGCTATGAATAAAGCATATTCACATGATTGATACGGAAGTCTCCAAACGGCGACTTCCGGCGCACAGANGGTCCTTGACTTCGGAGAGCATAGTTGTGTGTAGGTTGCGACGAAGTCACGGGTGGTTCAACTTCCGTGTCTCCGGCGGTGTTTGTGGTATCTAACTGACTTTGTTGCAGTGACTCTAAAACAATTTCATCCCAGGGGTCAACCTGTTCTGTCTGAGGTTGTTCCTCTGTTAGGGGTGACGGATCGGCGTTTCTCGCATCTGGGTTTCCTTCTCCTGCATCGGGTGGTACGAATTCCAACCTAGCGATTGCAGGTTTTAACCTATTAGCATGCGTATGCAATTTCTTTCCGGATTGGATGTGTTGGACTATAAAATCTACAGGACTCGTTTCCGCGATTATTCTATAGGGACCGTGCCATCGCGGGGCTAATTTTCGCTTCACTCCCGCGGGTACAGCTACCTCATTAACGAAAACTCTGTCTCCGATTGAAAATTTGTATGGCTTATGCTTACGTTGATGGTATGTATTCCTATCATACGCAGCCTTTTCCGCGTGTTCCTGGGCTAATTTGTGAGCCGAGGCCATCCTTGCTCTCAGTTCGCTCGCGTAATTTTCACTTAGATCATACCGAGGTCGATTAGGTTCAATAACGATGTCAAAGGGGTAAGTCGGATCGCGTCCATACATAAGGAAAAAGGGCGTTTCATTCGTGCTCGAATGCACGGTAGTATTGTACGCGAAAAGAGCATAAGGGATCATTTCATCCCAATTGCGCTGGTCCACGTCAACATAATGTGTCAAAATATCTATTAGGGTCTTATTAAGGCGTTCTACCATTCCGTTACACTGGGGGTGATATGCTGTAGTAAGAAGTCTTTTCACTTTTAATAGCTCGCAAACCTCCTTCATGACTTTGGAAACAAAATTGGATACTCTATCGGTTAATAACTGCTTCGGGACCGAATGTCTGAGAATAATTTGCGTGACGAACGCCTTCGCCACCGTTTTTGCCGTAATGTCGGGTAACGGGATTGCCTCGGCCCATCTAGAAAAATGATCGATAAAGACTAGCAGATATTTATTACCGTTACTAGTAATAGGAAGAGTACCCTGGATATCCAGTGCAGTGCGCTCAAAGAGTCTTGACACTCGCGGGAACGTCTGCAGTGGAGCTTGATGTCCGTGTTGGGGCCTTTTCCTCATCGCACACTCTTGACAACTATCGCAATAATGGGCTATGTTTTTATTAATTTCTGGCCAAAAGAACTGTGTCTGTAGTTTCTTTCGCATCTTTTTCTTGCCTACATGTCCTGAGCTGGGGATATCATGGAACATTTTTAGAACATAGTCTATCATAACCTTAGGTACGACTATTATGTCCCATTTTTCTTTTCTCTCAGGATTTTCTTTTCTATTATAGAGTATTTCGTCTGCATCTAAATAATAATCTGTATCTAGGTTTGTTTCCTGGGAGGACGGATCTCCCATTAATTGTTGTCTAATTCGCCTACAAAAAGGATCCTTTAACTGTTGTTCCTTTATCTGTGCCTTACTGTATATGGGTTGCATCTCGCAGATCGTCGCTATGGGTATTCGGCTTAACGCGTCTGCATTTGTGTGAGCTTAACCCGGTTTATGAATTATCACGAATTGATACTCTTGTAACGCCAAATTCCATCGACTAAGTCTCGAACTTTCATCTTTAACATTAATAAGCCATCTAAGGGGTCTATGATCTGTAATAATAGTGAATTTTCTCCCGTAAAGATAGGGTCTAAAGTGTTTACGGCTAAACATTCCTTTTCTGTGGTACTGTAATTTTTCTCAGCTTGTTTTATCAATCTACTCGCATATGCTACAAGAAGTTCTCCTCTCTCATCCTTTTGTGACAACACTGCACCTATCGCTGTGTTGGAAGCATCTGTTGCTAATATAAAGGGACTGTTAAAATCTGGGAATCTAAGCAAGGGTGCTGTAGTCAATATTCCCTTTAATTTCTCGAACGCGGTTTCATGTTCCTGGTTCCAATGGAACTTTACATCGTTCTTTAACAAATCCGAAAGGGGTTTCGAAATTTTTGCATATTGGAAAATGTGTCTCCTATAATATCCTGTCAATCCCAAGAATGCCCTAACATCTCGCTCATTCTGGGGTTGAGGAAAATTCCTAACACACTCTATCTTCGACGGATCTGGTCGGATACCATCCTCCGACACTTCATGCCCTAAAAACTTTATCTGTCGACTTAGCATCTGACACTTTCGGGGCTTTAGTTTCAATCCAGCTGCAGCTAACTGCTGGAGCACCAACTCCAATCTCTCCAAGTGTGATTCGAAATCTGGGCTAAATTCTAATATGTCATCCATCTAGACAAGGCAAATCTTGTTTTTCAGGCCGCTTAATACCAAATCCGCCATTTTTTGGAAAGTCGCTGGAGCGGAAGTGATCCCCATTGGGAGACGATTGTATTGATAATGCTCCGACGGAGTACTGAACCCCGTCTTCTCCTTGGATTCTGGGCTCAAGGGTATCTGCCAAAATCCACTCAAAGTGTCCATGGAAGAAAAATATCGCGCTCTTCCCAACAAACTCAGAGATTCTTGGATATGGGGCAACGGATAAGGGTCTAATTGGGTAATTTTATTTAATTGACGATAATCCACCACCATTCTATACGACGAATCAGATTTACGGACCATTAATGCTGGAAAGGCCCATGGGGAGCTAGAAGGCTCTACTACCCCACTTTTAATCATTTTATCCACTAACTCATCCATTATCTCTCTCTGGGCATAAGGAATTCGATATGGGGCACGGCATATCGGGGGATTATTCCCGGTATCTATCTTATGCTCTACTAAGTCACAATAACCCAAATCAAAATCGTCTTTCGCGAATACATGCTAATATTTATATAATAAATCCAATAAAGGGGTCAGCTTATCCTTTCCTACTTCGCTAAAATTAAACAAATTCGCAAATTGCTCTCTAGTTAAATCGTTTTCGTTCGATCGCGTCATTTTATTTTGTTCTGCGCTTTCTTTTGTTTCCTCTTCTGCTAAGAGAAAAGTTCCTAACTTACTTCCTCTGACCAATTTAACTGGTTGTGTTTTTACATTCATTATTCTAATAGGTACTCGACCATGCCTTTGTGTTTTGACTAATGTACAGGCAATAAACACTCCCTCTCGCTTGGGAGGTGTCGGTTCAACAACTCCTAATTGACCTGTTAACGGGGAATAAACTTTCCCTTCTACAATGACCTCTGACCGCGGAGGGATGACGTAATCGTTGGCTAACGTCACCTCCTTAGGAGAGTCGTTCCCTCCCTGCTCTAGGCTATTAATAGTTGTTTGTTTTGACTTATCTCGTTTCGTTTTTCGCTTTTTATTTCGCGCGCGTTTATTTTTCTTTTTCATCTCCGCGTTTTCTATAATTTTATTTTCGTTATCGCTAATTAAGGTTAAATTCAAATTATCTTTCGACGATACGCGTTTCTTTTCGCTAGTTTTCTCGCGATTACTTTCAACGTTTTCATTTAATTCTGAACTATCTTCGTTTTCTTTTATTTCGGCTAGTCCCCAAAAGGTCACTGTGTCTCCTGAGGGGAAACTAAGGGTCGCGTTCTTAACCGAGATTGTAACGTCGTATTTTTGAATAATATCCCTACCTAAGATTCCATCGTTAGGCGTAGTGATCTCGGGGTACACTAAATAACAATCATGGAAAAAGGTCAAACGTCCGATTTGGAATTTTAATTTAAACTTTCCGAATGTCTCGATAACGTGTCCGGTAACACTGATTAATTCGTGGTTAGACGCGCAGGGTGATATAGAACACCGGGGTGTTTAAACGCGTGTATTTTTAAAATTTTTTGTGCTTAAAAATGATGCCCTCAGTACCTTCCTTCCATGGTGTGAAGATCGCACCGAAAAAATCTCAAATTTGCACGAAAAAATTTTTTCCATAAACTTACAATAAAAATCATTGCCTAACGGCGCCTAACGGTGTAATTTTTTCGCGCGACTAACGGAGGTGGGCCG